TTCTACTCATTAGAAGTAAGTCACTGGGTTCCATACTCAAAGGAAGGAATTATACAGATGTGAACACCTGGTGGTGGGATCATTGAGAATATTGCCCAATGTTAGCTACAATACCCATAAAAATCCTCCTTTGCTGGCTCTACCCTCTCCCCATATCTGGTCACCCCATTTGCCACTTCTTGTCTGCTCTTACGTTCCTTTCTCTGAACCCCTCCCCCTTTCAGGTTTTCCCATGATGTATTATATATTCCCCACTCTCATTCACACTGCTCATGCTTTTTCCTCCATGTGCATAATATCTTTTATTATTTGAACCACTTTTCCATTCATCTAAATCCATGCAAATGTAAAAACGATAGTCCAGACATGACCTCCTTTGTGAAGCATTCCTTGGAGGCCTGAGAAGACTGTGCTCCTTCTTTTGCATCCTATAATCTCTTATTTACAATAGACTGGAAATGTCTTGACTTTCCTGCCGGACTGTGAGCTTCTTAAATACATAAGACTGTGAGGTATCTGTCCCCCTCCTCTAGACATCTTACTTTTCACGTAGTAGGTACCTGCAAAAGTTTATTAACTGCAGCTGATTGACCTACAGTGTGCATAGTACTTTTCTTAAAATTTCAACTATTATCAGTTATAGACAGAGATTTCTTAAAAAACACAAAGAAAACATAGACCATAATAAGCTCTGAGGCTTGGAACCAGCCTCCATTCCAAAAGTGTTTTTTTTTTTTTTTTTTTCAGACTCTGCTGTCTCTGCATCAGGGGTCAGACTGTACCACTGAATTACTAGGCATATTCCGGCCTGATTCCCACCCTGTTCTGCTTATTCTTGCTCTGTGCCCCTTGTTTCATTTGTCTCTCCCATCTTCTGGCAGGAGAGAGAGACCTTTTCATTGAACTCTCATTCCCAACATTTATCCAGACAGACCTACAGTCCTCTTGGCTAGTCTGTTTTTTCTCCAGGGACCTGAATCTTATAATTCAGGCAGGTCAAAGAGCTGGTTGTTCTAAGGGGAGCTTAATCTTTGGTAGGGACATAGGTCATTATTAAATAAAAAGTAACCCAAACCAAGAGCCTTTAAAATTTTGCTTGCATCCATTTTGCATGTTCCATGTTCATCATTCATGAACCTTTAATGATTTGCTTGTCCAGAATTTGTGAGGAAATAGAGTTATACAACTATATTTCACATTGGATTAATACCTGGCAATTTCCAAAGGTGTTTTCACCCCTCATGTTTCATGCAGTCTGTGCACCAGGAATAGGAAATAGATGATATTAATTGGATTTTATAGATAAGGGATTGTAGGTGGAGTCACATGCTCTGGCCAAGGCAGCATCACATACTTTGCAAGGGGTAGAGTGAGATCTTGAGTTGCATTCCCAAGTTCAGTGTTCTTTGGTCTTGATCTATTCTAACACCTAAAGGGAAGAATGGCAATCCCACCTCCCCAATACACACCCACAGTCATATGAACATAGTTTAATTTCATCAAAACAGTAGCTTCCCAATCAGTACATGTTAAATTTTTTTAATTAAACTGAGCTCTGGGCTAATTATTTGATTTTTAAATTCTCTTACAATAGATTTCAAGTTGCCTTGTGTCTTAGGTCTTATCCAAAGCCTTCCTCCTTCCTTCCTTCCTTTAATTAATTTGTTTATTTGCCTACCTAGCTAGAATTTTATGAATCCTGTAACATTTACCATCTACCTAAGAAAATTCTATCTCTGTGGCATTATTCACAATCTAGTAAGAGAAATGGATAAGCAACCAGACAGCAATGATAATGGGAAAAAGGTCTTGTGATAGGTCTCAGAAATGAGTAATAAATCCCTATTACATTGGACATGATGTTCTTGTAGACTTGAACATAACATAAAACCTTTATCATCATCATTATCTCAATTTATCACACTTTTTCCTCAGTCTCTCAACCCATAACCTACTAAATATTATTTCTTATTTTTGTATCCCTGATGCTTTGCAAGTAACATGAGAAGATGACTGTGTCTAGCTGGTTTACCACAGTATCTGGGGCATGAGAATAGTGCTCCACAAATATCTGTTGGCTGTCAGCATTGAGAGCCCAGTTCTGACTATCACTTGACAAATATTAAAAATAACTATAGTCACTCTCTCACCTAGATATGTCTGGATGGGATGGTTCCGTCAACTTTGTCTTGGGGACGGGTGTTAAGTTGAGCACTGTCACTCATATCTCCTGCCCAGGGAGTTTGCCCGTTGGAAGGTGAGGAACACAGCCATCGAGAGGAGAGACCTGGTCCGTCATCCAGTGCCCCTCATGCCAGAGTTTCAAAGGAGCATCCGTCTGCTTGGCAGGAGACCCACCACTCAGCAGTTCATCGATACCATCATCAAAAAGTACGGCACCCACCTCCTCATCTCTGCTACCTTGGGAGGTAGGTCAGCACTGCTGGGCCTAAGTCTTGTCATGACTTTGGGTCTGGGATGAGAAGAGGGTGGGATAAAAACCTTCTTTTGCATCTCTGCCATTGTACATCATTCCACAGCACAGATTGCCAAACACTAAGCCAAATATCAGAGCAGGCAATTTTGTTCTATGGGTCAGTCTAACTCCAGAGTTTACTGATTTTTGTGGAAATATGGTTTCACCTTGGAATTAGTGCAGTTCGTTGAGAATCCTTAATCTGATGAACATATTAGTTCATTTAGAATATAGTCTAATCTAGGGAGATAATTAAATTTCAGATGTTGTTTAGCAAATTGCCTTTGTTTATTTAAGTCTACTTTAGGGACTGATAGCTAGCTCAAGGTTATTATTTTGCAAATGGAGTATCATCATCTGTTTCTTATTTGAGCTTGGGGTAGGTTATTGGGGAATCAGACTAGTTGTTTCACGCTGTTCAGCCTTGTTCATCCCTTCCCATTAAATGCAATACATCTTAAAGGGAGTAAGGATAAGAAAAGAGGATAAAGGGAGGAAAGAAATGCAAAAAAATTGGGAAATGGAAGAGCCGGGTGCATTTAGATGTTAATTGCCTGCAGTGACCATTTTATATCATGAGCTATAATGACTGGGTCCACTGAATTTTGCAAAAGCCCCTCTGGTAGTAGAGCTCTGAGTGACCAGCTCAGAGAGCTGCTCAGTTGGATTTATGTATGTCCATGCCAGCTGGGACATGTATAATGGATGGTGTATAATTATAATGGTCAATATCATGAAGAGGAGGGTAAGCACCATGTGTTGGAATGATTAGTGCAGACTTCATGGGGACGGTAGCTCGGCAGAAGTGGCCTGGCAGGAGGAAGGTAGCCAGGGTTCCAGGTTGCTCACACTGCACACATTCTGAAGAAGGCCAAATTAGTCATTTGATAATGTGGGAATATGGGTGAAGTGATTGGTTGGATAAATTCATTTATTCTTATAATATTACTGTAAGAGTATTTGCCCATAACAGTCTTTGTCCATTGTCTTTTGTCCTCAAAAACTGCAAATTACATGATAGGATCTCATTTTATAGCTCAGAAAGCTTAAACTCAGAAAAGGTATAGCTAGTAAGTGACAAAACTATTTTTAACTTTGGGTTTTCTGTCCATGTCTGCATTTTTGGACCATACATCAGTCGCTTCTTACTAACTCACACACCCACCCACTGGAGCAAACAACCAACCCATTCTCAGTTCTCACTTGTTGCTAGTCAGATATAAAGTTAAATAGGACTTTGAATGCAAATCATTAGCATAAATTCTATTCTATTGTAAAGTGAAGTGAAACCACTTCTGTGTTGAGTGTGACATTAACCCTTACCCTTTCCTTTGAACTTCTTCCACTTCCCATTTCAATTGGAAAAAAAAAAAAAAATCATTGTGGCCAAATCAGTTCTTCTATTTGAAACTGTATTTTGTCTGAGTCCTGGGAAATCCCAAATAGCAAAGACCTTTCTTTTGCAGTGAAATATATTTTTAATTTCTCCAAGGCAAGGTGGTGAATTATTCACAGAGCCTTGTTCCTGTCCTGTTTTTACAGCACAACATTTTAAAATATGCAAAGCTTTGGGTTGTGTTCCAGTGTTGGACAGCAAACCCTAAATGTTCCCTCAATCCTCACTGTTGAGGAGTGGAGAGGATGAGGGGGAAAGATTTACTGTTGACAGGCACAGGTAATCACCAGTATACTAACGAGAACCAGCCATAAGATTTACTGTTGATTAAACACAATGCACCAGCACTGTACAAGGTATTTCTTACCTCATCATTTCATTCATTCATTCATAGAAAAATATTTCTTAGGAGCATCTTTGTGCAATGGGAGAGAAGGGAGGTGTTAAGTTGTATTAAGTGAAGGACACACACACTGGGGTTTGATAGGTGTAGTTCTAATCCAAACTCCTGACACTCACCAATTTCATGTCACCTTGGCAAGTTACTCAATCCTCTAAGCCTTAGTTTCCTCTTTTAGAAATAGAAATAATAATAGTTCTTCTCTCATGCATATTGCAAAGATCAAATAAAATGATGCATAAGACAGCTTAATACATTTGTCATCTATCTAATTATTTTGCTGCTATTGTCATTCTTCTTCTTACTATTATTATTATTATTATTATTACTATTCATGCTCTCATTTAGTGGGGCTGAGGAACTGAAGGGCTTGAGATAAAAGCCCATAACTTCCACTTAATAGATGGAGGCATTGAGAAATTTACTCTTTTGTCGGGATATTAGTTTTCCTGTCTAAATATAGGGAGGTGAAAATTTTATTCACTATAATTTTTCCTAAGGAGAACACCATGTTCATTTAGAAGACATACTTTGATAAGCAGTTTGAGGTGTCAGGTGAACTCCTAAGGGCATACTCAAACAACAAAAGATGATCCTTAAAATGTCACATGTAGTACAATTAGATGCATTTGTTTGGCTCCTAAGCGAGAATAAGGTGGAAAGGATTGAGGTCTATGGCAAAAGAGGAATTGGAACCAGTAGTAGGGCTGACATCCAAGACATATTCATGAAATCTCACATTTTTGTTGAAATTGGTTAAACTTAAAATTCTTAATATGAGAATTTTCTTTGAAGGATATTGAAGGAAAAATTTTGGGACCTGGAATGGCACAGGGAGTAGAGAGACAACTATATTTCCCTAGGTCCTCTGAAGATCTTACTTTGGATCAAAGGAAACACCTTGGAGGCTGTGATTCTAAGTGATGTTAAACTTTCATGTGTGTATGGGAATGCATGCATGTGTGCACAGATGCCTACTAGTGCTTGGAATGAAGTTAACCTATATGTGGACATACACACATAAGCAGTGCACACATGCCTATACACAGGACCCACAGATAGGGATGCAGCCTGCACATACGTATATGTGAGCTTGCACTTCATGCTGATATTCACAAGGTGCATGAATGTCTTCCTATGCATGAGGACTCATGTTGCTGTATTTGTGTAAATATTTAAATATTTGTATATGTATTCATAATTCCCACCTTGCACTATGGGACATCTCCCTTTGGCTAAGAGGAAGTCCAGGAATAAAGTCCCAGGGGCTTAAAAGGAAAGGATGAGGGATGTTTCAGAGGTTTAAAGTCCAGTCATCCCCACCCCCATTAGGAGGCAGTATCCTCTGTTGACTCCAAAGTTTAACCTGTCAGCTCGCACCTCATCTGCGAGTCTGAATCTCACTTTGGTCCTCTCTGAGGAAACTGCTGCAGAGAGTGAGGCAAAGTCCCCTGGAGGACAGAGCGACTGAGAGAAGGTCTACGTGGGGTGAAGAGGCAATTTGCAGGAATGCCCAAATGGGAAAGCAACTCTAAACAGAACATTCTCTTAATAAACAAGAAATTAAGTCTTAATAGTACAGCAAGAAGCCCATTAACCCCTTTTGATCTAAAGTTTGCTTCTGCCAGTTCTCAATCCATAGGGAGCTGGGCTTATTTCACCTTCTCTTTCTCAGGGCCCTTGTGGAGTTTGAGCTGACACTTGGAATATCCATTTCCTCTGCCTCTTGATCCTAATTTCTAGCATTTTCACTTATTTACTCATCTGCCTCTCCACTTATCTGTTCATCTATCCATTCAATCATCTATCTATCCTTCTGTCCATCCATCCATCCTCCATCCATGAAATGACAACTGAACATCTGCTCTTCATCTGACCTTGGAGAAGCATCAGGAACATTACAAAGAAGAATCAGATAGATGCTTGCTTTCCCAGGCCATCTACATCCCTAGAATCCAAAATCTAGTATATATAGTCATTTTTTATTTCAGACTTATTCAGGTCACTGTTAAATGCAAAGGATGGACTAGCATGTCCTCCTGCATAACTAGTGAAGGTTTCGTGGGAAAGTACACCGAGTGTTTTAATCTGAATTCAACTCAAATCTAGGCATGTGGGACTCAGAGATTAATTTTAATGATGAAACTTCCTATGGGGGAAATTCAGTCTTAGTTAAGGCAGCTATGTCAATCGATAGACACTGTAGAGTTGGGTAACTTCCACATTTATTCTTTCACCCACAAATCTCTTGGTCATTTGCCAAGCACATGACACATGCTTGTATTATGCTAAGCAAAAACACCGAAATGATGAAAGACCCTATGTAGCCTCTGATTTTACATAATTTCTCCTCTAGTGAAGCAAACAGCTATATAATCTATCAGTAGGAAATGTGATAGGTAATGCGTTGGAGAAATAAACGGGACTGGGAAGACATGAAATTCTTAATCTAGTTTAAGAGTAGGAAATCAGGGGAGGCTTCCTAGAGGAGGTGTTGTCTTAGGTGAGACCAGAGGGACAAGTAGAAGTCAGGAGAAAAACAGAAAAACAGAGTCCCAACGATGAGAGAAAATAGGAGATATTTGTGTGGGATAGAGAATATCTACAGTGAGGTCAAGAGTGTGGCTGGTGAGACTTGATCTCACCAGGGCCTCGTGTCCCACATTATCATAGGGTTGCAGGCACCATTTTCCTGCCTACATTCTACCCTCTCTACCATGGCTCTTCATCCAGTATATGACCCCTGATGTCTGTGTCTCCAGAGACCACCATTGACCAATACAAGTATAACATGAGCCACAAGGATGAGTTAGATATGCCACTTCAAATTTTCTCATAAGCATTAAGAAAAATGGGAGAATCAGTGTAACTATATTCTATTTAACATAATATGGCCAAAATATTATTTCGATATGTGATCAATAAAATAAGCAACTCATGAGCTATTTTACATTTTTTAACATTTCCCAGATAGAGGAAACCTGCCATATAGTCTATACCTACAGCGCATCTCGATTTGGACAAGCGACATTTCAAATGCCCAGAAGACACACACGTGGCCAGTGGCTTCCCTGTAGGAAGGCGTCTGTGTCACCACTCTGTGACTCTACAGTGGGGACAGCGTCCCTTCCATATGTCACTCTGGTGTCTGCCAAGTACTCAGCATAGATAAAATGCTCAGTGGGTGCTGAGCTGAATGGATGAGTGGGAGAATGACAGGGGAAAGGTGATGAAATGCCTTTGAGTTGAGGGTGTGTTTGGGGCAAGCTCACTAGCAAGGGTCTGGGGAGCGTGCAGAGGATGCCAGCTCAAGGGCAGAGAGGGGAGAGTAAGAGAAAGTGACACTTGAATTGAGACCACTTGAATTGAGAACGCTGGGTAGGATTTCAGCAGTCAGGCATCTGGAGGAGGGAGAGCTAGAATGGCATTCCAAGCAGAAGGAAAAGGAGTCTGAGGAAAGCCTGGAAGGACAATTGACAAAAATGAGAGATGGAGGCCGAAGAAGTGGTTTGTTGAAACATGGAGGGGAAAGGGCTAAACAGCAAACTGGAGGCTGGAGGAGAAGATGGAGGGGCAATGGTCTGTGTCCCAGAACAGTCCTGGAGGGATCTGAGGCAGAGGAACTGACCTGAGGGTGAGGACTGGGCCCACTTCCTAAGGTAACCCCTGTCCCTTGGAAAGAAAATTGGTTCTTCCCTTCAACTCAGTAAGTCCTCAGCACTCTAAAGAAATTTCACTTGTCTTAGATATCAGACTTTTGTCCTCAGAAGGCATAATAGTGTTTGTTCTCTGAATACCCTCTTACAGTGGATTGATTAGGTGGAAGAATAAAACTCACACAACTGACGCTATTTTACATGATCGGATAATGGTAGTTACTGTGTGCCAGGCAAGGTTCAGGTACTTCATGTAATTAACTCATTTAATCCTATGCCCGCCTGATGAGGTAAGTATAGTTAGTATCCCCAGTTTTACACGTGAAGAAACTGAGACATGGAGAAGGTTAGTACTTTGCCCATACAGCAGGTTCAAGGGCAGGCCATCTAGTCACAGAGACGACCTCTCACCGCTGCTCCTAACCATCTGTGGTTGCCACAGTAAACCAGACACTGACACAAGGACGTTACATGTTTTGATTATTTTTCTTAATAACTCTATGGAATTGGTGCTATTCCTTCCCCAATTTGTTAATAAATAAGCTACAGATCAGAGAAGTCAAGAAACAACCCCATGTTCACAATTGCTGGATGAAACCAGGTGTATAATAATGAGACCTGTTTAGTAGACATATCTGGAGCTTCCTTTCTGCAGGTCTGGAAAAACATCTTGTTATCCAAAATAAAAGGTACCAAAGCTAGTTAGTCTCATTGTTAGTAATCCATGCATGTATCTCTACGGGAAATCTTACGAAGTAAAAATCAATCTCTCTCTCCCTCTCTCTCCTCTCTCCCTTTCCCTCCTCCCCTCCCTCTAAATTTCTTGTCATCCTTTTTCTTCCCCAAATGTCACTTCACCACTGTATTCTCAGGACCTCAGTGCCTGCTACGTAGTGGTTTTTAAGAAGTGTTTTTTAAATGCATGAAAAGAAATGGTGAATTCACTACCTACTCACTACCTACTGTATGCCAAGCACTGGGCTCTGTAGGAAGGATAAAGCAGTGACTAATATAGACAGTGCAGAACTCACAGTATAGTTTCCTTTATATTTAGGCACATAGCTTTTCCTGTCTGTCTCTATCTGTTGCCTAATTATCTGTCTGTCGCCTCTTATCTGTCTGTGTATCTATGTACCTATTCTCTGTACTTACATACATGCAAACATATGTATATCTCTCCTTCTGTCTGTCTAGGAGGGTTAGCAGAAGGGGAAAGAGAGGCAGGGAGGGAGGGAGGGAGGAGAGTGATGAGAGGAGAACAAGGAGAATCTAGAAGATGATAAGGAAACAAAGGAAGAAGAAAGAGGAATGTGACTGGAATACCATTTTGCAGAAGAGCCTGGGCTCAAGGAGAGAAGGTGAGTGGCATTAGAGTTGATGCTGGTGAAACTGAGCACTGTTTAGTAGGAGCTGGACTTGAAGTCTAAGGGTGTTTCCATGACCCTTGTCCAAAATGCACTCGGCACTGTCAGCCACCTCTGGGCTGTTTCTCCTTCACTGAACTCTATTTTCAGTGGCAGGAGGGAGTTTGGACAGTAGGTCTGAGGCTGTTTGCAGCATCCAGGCCCTGGAGACCTTCTTCCACCACAAAGCTCGATAAGCTACCTGAGCTTCCTTCCTCTTCCATGCAGGGGAGGAAGCCTTGACCATGTACATGGACAAAAGCCACCTGGACAGGAAGTCAGGGAACGCCACTCAAAGCGTCGAAGCTCTGCACCAGCTCGCGTCATCTTACTTTGTCGACCGCGATGGCACCATGAGGAGACTCCACGAGATCCAGATATCAACTGGGGCAATCAAGGTAGGCTTGGGGTGGTGGTGGCTGCCAGGCCCTCAGATAACAGCACTGCCGCTCAGTGTTCTGAGAGTCGAGGGGTAGTTACAAGCCTGGGGCTCACATGGGTCACAGCACCCTCTCCCCACCTCCCTGGGCAAAGCTGTCAAGTGTCTGAAATATCATGATTACTGTCATTCAAGCCACCCGAGGTGTTGATTTGCTGGTACAGTCCTGGCTATGGTCATGGCCCTATTGTCAACATCCTCATGTTCCCTCTTAGTTTACCTGCGTGAATGGTTTTCAGGCTTCCCAAAAATTTACAGAGCCCAATTACTGATGCTTAGCTCAGTCCTTTTTTAATGTCTGTTTTTGAATCCTCCCCTTTCCCATTTTACAGATGGGAAAACTGAGGTCCAAAGGTTAAAGACTTTGCTCAGGGTACACAGCTAGAGAGTCACTTAACAAACCAGCGGGCAGCAAATATTTTATGTGAAGGGCCAGTCTTATGTTAGGCTTGTCAGGTCATAAGGTTTCTGATGCCACAAGTCAGCTTTGCTACTAGAGCACACAATCAGCCACAGACAATATGAAGACAGCGGCCTGGCTGTGTTATTCACAATAACAAGTCTGTATTCTCCTCTTCCCACCGAGGTCCAAGAGGCCCATCCCTGAAGACAGAAATTCTACACCATAGCCAGAGTCATTTGGGGTGTGGGGCACTTGAGATGTTCCTCTTCAGGAGTTAAGTTTACAAGTTTATTTCATTTTACTTAATGTCTATATCAAAGCCACATTGGAAAGAGTGGCTGTAGATTTTTCACTTCAGTGCCTTAGAACACAGATACTTAGGGGGGGAAAAAACAACAATCCAGAATCCACTTTATATGCTGCAATATATTCAGGGATTACCTTTATAAAGAGAATGAGGGGAGCATTTTTGATATAAAGGATTAGTTCTTCTGAGGGTTTCAAGTCAAATATTTTTGCATCTCAAATTTTCTGAAATCAGATTATACCTGCATTTTACTTCTTAAGCTTCAGTCCAATTTCTTCTGAATAAAATGCAGACCTAGTCTCTTATTAAGACTTTCAGATGTCTTCAGGGCAGAAGGATGGGGTAGAAGCAGTGCTGGGGGAGACTTGGGCAGATAAGTCAGAAATGAACCAAGTCAAGAGAAAAATATGTAAGGGAGGAGGGAGATAAGAAGGTGAGAAATGCATCAGATCCACAAACAAAGACCCAGCTTATCCGAGAAGAATCACCTACATTATTGGGATTATGTTGTTAGGGAACCAGACCCAGAGAGATGGGCCTTTATGAAGCCATCACAGTCGGAGTGAAGCAAAGACCTGGTTTCATTATCACCCACTGGTCCTCTTCCCCCCTGCCATGGGATGTGAAATTGAGATATTGAAGCTCTTTCAGAAGATAATCCTCTTTTGTGCTCCTGGAAGGGCAGCCAACCTCCTTATGAGGAATTTCTCAGAGAAATTGCACAGATGACACTCAAGAACCCATCTTACAGTGATGCTGTCGTCTACACTCAATCTGGGACTGGGATTTTTCTTGCTATTTTTTGACACTACCTCCAGGCACAGCTGACTAGACTGGTCTCTCTGTCAGCTTTGTTTAAGACTGGCAGCTGGGCCAGGTGGGGGAGTTTTACCCAGGGCTTTCCTTTTCCAATTTGTCTTTAGCAAAGTGAATTAGTAATTTTGACCCTCATTTATTAATATGTTATTGTTTTAGACAAAAAAATAATAATTTTAAAAACAAAGCATCATATTCAGCCACTTATATACCATGTCTAAAGTCCTAAACGCACTTCAAAAACATAATATTTTATGTTGTAAAGTGGGCAATGGTGTTATTAGCATTTTGGAGGTGAGGAAGTTGAGACCTTGAATGGGAAAGTTACTGATCTGAGACATCAGAGCAAGAAAAATTCAGAGCTGGCAATTGGAGATTCCTGTGATCACTTCCCAAATCATCATTCCCTCCAGTACTTGCTGCTGTATCTTTAAAGTCGGGTGCAAACCTCAAGACAATCCTATGAAAATGTGTGAATACTGGCAAATTATGTCTAAGGGAATGAAGCAACCTCTTTGCATTCCGAACCATTCTTATTTCAAGGCTATGTATTGGATGTGCCTATTATCCACCACCTCAAATATTCTCAGAGAATGATTTAGAAAGACATTGCCCCAGGACTGGGGAGTTTCATTCTGTGATGGCACTGATGGTGCCCATTGTTAGAATGTCTCTTGGAAAATGGAGATAATTTTATTGTTCTTACCTAATAGTAACACATATATATTCATAACAATTTTATGGAGACTTCTGGTACTAAGGTGTATGGTGTCAAACATCTTCCATGTATCTGGCACGTGCACCCATCATGTCTCATCTCACAGCCTTTCTGGAAAGGAAAGGTTCAGGGTGTTGTAGAAGTTTAGAGAAGCTAAGTGACTTCCTCAGCTCACACAGCAAATCAAAAGTTCAACCCGGATTTAAGCACTGATTCTTCTAATTCCAAAGCCAAGGTTTCAAAATACACTACAGTGTTTCAACCTGTAAGTTCATATAATCCTAACACCACCTTGTGAAGTGAGGCCAGGGATGTGCACACACACACATGTTTGCACACACACACATATACACATACACATGAGTGCTCAGTTGTCTCACTATCCCAACATCTGCTTGGTGACAACCAAGCGTGGTCCTTGGCACAGACTAGTGCTCAGGAAGCAGCCATTGGCTCAGGCTAGAAGACTTTCTCTGCTGGCTTTGCTGGCTGGGGGCCAAATCTGCAGGTTCTGTGCCCAGCAAGCGCACCTGTCTCACACCTGTCACCATTGATGTCCACTCTAGGTCACAGAGACACGCACTGGGCCTCTGGGCTGTAATAGCTATGACAATCTGGACTCTGTGAGTTCCGTCCTTCTGCAAAGCACGGAGAGCAAACTGCACCTTCAAGGTAAGATGCCCGGGGAAGAAGGTAGACCAGGGGGAAGAGGGGAGGGGACTCAAAATTACCAGGAGGCATGATGTGGGGGGAAAACAAAGAAGATAAAAGGCAGAGAAACCCATGAAGACTACAAATATGGAAATTAAGACAGTTATGATACGATGTCTTTTTTTAAAATTTTAACATACCCAGGACATTAAACTCATGGTTATTAATTAGTTTTCAGATATGAAGTATGGAAATGTGGGCTTTATCTGATTTTTTTGATGAAAATGTCTAAATAGTGTTATTTATAGATGCTCCAGATCTAATATATATTAAAGTTTCATATCATATCATCTGAATTCCCCACATTATTGTGTTTGATTTTCAATGTATTTGGCAGGTGTTATTTGAATTCAGAGAACTATAGGACATTTTATAGAATTTTGGTTCTATGTAATCTTCTTTTTCCATATTTGTTAATCATTTGTGCTCTTCAATACACACACACACACACACGGGTGTGTGTGTGTGCATGTGAGTGTGCTTTTAGCAGAGTTTACAAAGAACACACAGTGTTGGCTGGGGTGTGGAGAGACAGAGACTCTTTGACACTGGCTGCGAGAATGCAACAATTACATGAATTAATTTGCTGATATATATAAATATTTGTATTTGCTTAATGTCTGCTGTATATCAGATCTATATTATGTGCTCCATAATACTTTTGATCATAAAGAAAAATATGCCCTTTAAAACAATAATTTCACCCTTATTAATTCATCATCAAAAAGAAAAGAGATTGTGGGGGAAATGACAAGAATTTTAGAACAGATAGTGCTGTCTAAAAAGCATAATTTATAGCGGAAAAAAATAAAAACCTCAATTTTGCACATGAGGAGACTAAGTGAATTATATAGCATCCATACCACATAATATTAGGCAGGCACTAAGATGTTTTTTAAAAGAATTTCTAACACTATGTGGGCATATTTAATATAATTTTAATCAAGAAATGGATGGTTTCTGGTTGGATATAGAGCATGATCTTAACAATGTAAAAGGATACGGAAAAATGATATTGCAAGGAAATAGACCGATATGTTAAAAGATGTTACCTCTGGATACTTAGGTTATAGATGATTTATTTTAGGCTTCCAATTCCTTTTCTAACATTTCTAAAATGATCATGTATTTAACTTTATAGACAGAAAAAATGATGTTTTAACTTTGAGTAGACTAAAAATGTAACCTTCCAGAAAGGTATATGATAAAGGTGATTCTGAATGTCAGTGGGTGAAAAGTTGCATTGGATTGGCAGGTAGAGCTAAGCAGAACCTAATATGACTTGTATATTCTGGTTTCTTGGCAACTCTTTGATTTATGGTCCTGTAAGAGAAGATGGCTGGAAAATGGTTCAGGAAGGGCTCAGTAGTGTCACTTGGGAGCAATGAATGCAAACCCCTCTGGGAAATTCAGGCTAAGAAAGTGGTTTAGTGCTAAAACAAAACACAACTCAACCTCAAATACATGAAGAATAACCTTATCTCCTCCTTATACAGGTGGGTTTGGTAAATGTAGATAAAAAGTCAATAAGAAAGACAGGTCTGTCTTGGGTGTGTCAGGATTTTTAACTGAACAGTTTTTGTGATACTTACAGTTATATTGAGATGTGAGAGTAGGGTTGGACCAGGAGGTCTGGCCCCAGTCTGAATTTTATCACACTCCAATGCAAGTCAGAGGTGGACTTACAATTGGGGTAAAATTAGAAGGTATTAATAGAATTGTACTAGGAAGCTATTTAAGTTTTAAAGATATTTAGGATCTGATTTACCATGAAGCTAATAAAACTTAAGGTTCAGAGTTCCCTAACCTTCTATGTCCTCAATTTTTCTCATTCTAAATATTCACTTTCATGTTTAATTTTTAATTCCTTTTCTCAGAAAGCAAAGCAACTATAGAATAAGACTCAGTCCTCCAAAATTCAGATCTGCTATAGATTATATTGCTAGAAGTATGTTATTTACAAAAAAAGGTGGTGATAGCTCTGTTCTGCTGTAGATTTGTGTCTTATGATAAATAGCTGAAGAATGACTTGGAGCAAAATCTGTCAGCAGACAGCTAATAAGCTATGTTGCAGAAAACATAGTCAATTTCATTAAATTAATAAAATGAGTCCAACCTGACCCATGAAGGGGGAAGATTACAATGATCTCAGCTTTTATTCTTTTTTTAAAAGATAGATTTATTTATTTATTTATTTGTTTGTTTGTTTATTTATACAAGCACTGGGTACAGTCAGAAGTATGGGAGGTTGAGAGAATTCACCAGAGCCAGAGCAGGGAACAGAACAGGCAGACTGACAAAATACACTGGTAAGGGGAGCAGCGGGTGCGGCAGGAGAGGTCTGCTGCACCATGTAGGACTCTTGCTGGTGGCCAGGGATCGAAATGGCACTGCAGAGGCTGCAGGCAGCTTTGCAGCCCAGCACTCAACCACTGCACCATAGGGGAGGCCTGGATCTCAGCTTTTAACTCAATATAAAACAGATCTCTCTATGCACATTCATGCCTAAGCTTAGAATGATCAACTGAATAGTGTAGTGATTCTATATGTTCAGACTTGTAAGTAGGTGACATTTAGTGAGAGTGTTACAGAAATTGTTTAATGATCATTTTGTTGAGTGATTGAAGCCAATGGTCTTCAAGTCCTCAATTCTGATTCTAGAACTTATGAAGACCACAAATCATCAAATCTTTATTTAAACTGACCATGTATCAAATCCAATGCTTGAACATATGAGCACAAATCAGTTCAAATCAAAAGAAATCTTTTTGAGAATCCATGTTGACATTGAGCTAGGCCCAAAGATACAATGGTGTAGAAGACAGACATAGTTTCTGCCCCCAAGAAATTTTACATTCAAAGATGATGGACTTAAAATAGTAAATGTGATGAATCTGAGTAGAGAAAAATCACTGGGATTCTGTGGTGCCAGATAGCATAGGAACTTAACTTACTATGGTATCAGGGAAAATTTCTGGCTAAAAATAATATGGTATCAGGGAAAATTTCTGGCTAAAAATAATCTAGAACAAGACCTGAAGGATGAAGAGGAGGGGATGGGGCTTGGATATGGAGGCAGACAGTAGAGTCTTTATAAAGAGGTATTTGAGGAAATAGAAAGTCTCGAGAGATTAAAGCAAAGACATCAATGATGAGAAAGACAAACAATGTTTCAAACCCTGAAAGACCTCTGCAGTGCATTAATGAGTTGAACATTAATTTGAGAGTAATGGAAACCATGTAGAGGTTTTTTAAAGGAAGTAGCAAGAAAAGATTGATGTTCTAAAATATCACTCTGGCTGTTGTGTGGTACATTAATTAGAGATTAGAGTTTGGTGACCAGTTGAGGTGATTACAGTCTTCAAGATGAGATGTTAGAAATTTAGACAATGGAGACAAGAGTTGAATGGAAAGATACAGACCAATTTTAAAGTAACTTAGGAGGCTTTATGACCAAGTTTTAATGGAATGACCATGAAGATTAGATAATTGGATAAATGGAGGATTGGGGATGAGATAGAAAGGATGGCATGTAAATACATATGTCTAGGTAATATGTCATATAATAAAAATAATAAAAGTAATTTGTACTATTACGGAGTATAATAGTACTCAGAAAATTCATTCCATCTGTCTAGGTAGAGGAATCATGAAAAATTATATCAGAGGAAAAATCATATTCTCTTGCTAGAAGGTAAAAGAAAAAAAAAAAAAAAACTTCTTAACTATAAGCCAGAAAAATATCTCATGACTTTTCAGTAATCTGATATGTATTTGGTAGGACACCAAAAAAGCACTAACTTTAAAAAATGATGGCTAAAGTGGTCTAAATTAAAGTTAATAGTTTCTGTTTATCAAAAGCTGTTATTCATGGAACAAAAATACAAGCTACAGAATGGAAGTTTTTGGGATATAATGTATCTGAAAAATAATCCTCCTGCAAAAATAAAGAATTAAAACCTGGGGGGGGCGGAGCAACATGGCGGCGAGGAGACGCTGCGAGTAAGATCTCCCATTAAAAAAAGTTAATAGGGAGGAAAAGCGGCAGGTCCCAGTGAGAACTGGGACACGGAAGATAAACGGGCGACTCCAGCAAACTGCCCGAAGAAGAAAGTGGCCATAAAGAGGACTAGAAGGGAGGGAAGCGCAGAACCCTGCTCCCCTCCACCGCCCACAGAGGCAGCACTCTCCGACCGGCAGAGAGGAAGGAAACAACAAACCAAAACGGCCAACAAGAAAAACGGACACAGCAAGCGGGACTGTGAGTGGAAAGGAACTATTGCAGCCACCACACCCCGTGAACGGGAGCTGAGGCGAACCCTGCAGGATCCGCCGCGGAGGTGAGCTCCAGGCGCCATTAAAGAGAGCCCCGCCCCCCAGGAGGAGACCAGCACCAGCACACAGCCCCAGCCGCCCAGCTGCTTGAAACTGACAGATGACTCCTGGAAGAACCAGAGGGAACAGAGAAGCCCACCCAAGATGCCGGCCAGTCCCAACAACACAGTGTCCCAACGCATACGGCAAATTAGAAAACAGACAGTAGGGAGGAGAAGAACCACACGCAACCTAGCAACTCTCCAGAGAAAAAGCACACCACAAAAAGAAAGCCAGCCCCCAGATTGCAAAGACAATAACTTGGAAGAATTTCTGAGCCTTCCAGAAAGAGAATTTAAAATTGCCGTGATTAAAAAACTGACAGAAGTCATAAAGGAAACAATGATAAGGGAAAATAATCAACGATCAGAAGAATGCAATTGAGTCCCTAGAGAGGGAAAACAATGGTCAGAAGAAAGAAATTGAGTCCCTAAAGAGGGAAGTAAAAGAAATGCAGGAGATCAAAGAATTAATGGAAGAACTAAAGAATTCTGGGAAAGCAATGAAAGCAGAATAGATGAAATGGAAGAACGAATAAGTAATCTTGAAGACACAGAAATAAAAGAACCAAAACAGAAAAGGAAAGA